GGCTAAGGCTAAGGCTAAGGCTAAGGCTAAGGCTAAGGCTAAGGCTAAGGCTAAGGCTAAGGCTAAGGCTAAGGCTAAGGCTAAGGCTAAGGCTAAGGCTAAGGCTAAGGCTAAGGCTAAGGCTAAGGCTAAGGCTAAGGCTAAGGCTAAGGCTAAGGCTAAGGCTAAGGCTAAGGCTAAGGCTAAGGCTAAGGCTAAGGCTAAGGCTAAGGCTAAGGCTAAGGCTAAGGCTAAGGCTAAGGCTAAGGCTAAGGCTAAGGCTAAGGCTAAGGCTAAGGCTAAGGCTAAGGCTAAGGCAGGGAAACAAATGAGGGCTCTGTAGTGTAGCTATCTGAGATATGCGCTAAACAATACTCGGCAGAGGGAAGGGATCAGAGTGAGTGTTAAATAGTGAGGGAGTGATATGAAACAGCTGGGTGCAATCAGTGTTAACAGCTGTGTGCAATCCGTGCTGAGTGCAATGAATGATGGGATATGTAGTCCGGGGTGATGTGCAACAGTGTGTAGTGCGAGAGTCAATGAAATCGGAAAGGGTGACCTCTGATGGCTAGCAGATGGAAGTTCATGGTCCGGATTCGTGACAGGGTCTTTAATACTGAACTACTTAAAATAGACAAAAATAGACGTGTTCACATAGACTGACAATTGAGTGCAAGAATGTGTCCAATTGAAATGCCTATTATTTGTTTACAGACACCGGAGTTATTTTAGTATTGAGATACTATATAATTGTATTAATATTTTGAATTTTATTTCTTATATTTTCTGTTTTCAGTTAAATTTTAGTTAAGATTTTAGTAATGTTGTTTCCTGTTAGGGGTAGGTTTAGGGGTAGGGTTGGTGTGGGGCAATAGAATATACGGTCTGTACAGTTTAAAAACCATTACGCCTATGGGATGTCCCCACTTTTCACAAAAACAAACCTGTGTGTGTGTGTGTGTATTATGGTTTTAGTTTTATTGTTAACTATAACCCTCAACAACACACCTGATTTACAGTCACTAAGGATCAGTTGTCAGAAAGCTGAGTTTGTGCACCACAACATGATTGATAAAATAATAAATCCCCACGAAATGGCATTACTGTAGCCAAATTCCCTAAATGACAATTTAAAGCAATAACATTTATAAGGAAATGCATGAGCTATTTCTTCAGCAGTCTTCTCACCCAGTGCAGTTCATCTGTTGTGTATTAATGTGCAATGTCATCGCATGCAACAAAAAGTTACATAATCCATAAACACTGCCTGGTTGAATCAGGATTTGGCCCATTTTTCATGAAGTTAAACTACTGATGCATGATATTGTCTCGCTGGCTGTTTGTTGTGGGGATCTCAAGGGTTTATTAACAGGTTATTCAGAGAAAGCTGTAAATTCTATACTAGTGCTATTGTCAAATGGAGATGAAGAACTTTACCAGCTCAGTTTACACATTCCTTGCAGAACCTATAAGAGTGTGGCTTTAAAAATAAAAAAACAAGAGATACAATTTTAAATTAGACAATTGGTTTTCTATTTTTTTAGTACTCCCCGGGGGAAGTAGATCTAAATGATACAAAAATTACACAAGACAAAAAAATAGTTTAAATGTTTAAATAAAAAAAAACACACACCCTTTGTTCTTAATATTGCTTCTCTGAGCATCAGCGATTGCTTGCAGTCCTTTGTGGTAGTTGTGAATGAGTCCCTTAGATGTCTGGAGTGGCAAAGCTGAATCTCGACATAATTGAGCCACTATGGCTGAGAATTCGTATGTGAAGAGCAAGCTGGGAAACCAACAAAATTACAGGATTTTTGTCAAGAACAGTGGGCAGCTTCATCACTCAGGAGTAATGACTCCTCAGGAGTGCACAATCATCACAAAAGGACAAACAGTCATTGATGCTTGAGGAAACACACAATATTAACAAACAATGGTGTGTGAGGATAATTTTTCTAAATTCAGTTATTGTGTCTTGTGAAATATGTTATGCCAAATAGATTTATTAGAGGAGTACTAAAAAAACTGTTAAAAAATATATTTTTGTACACTGTAAAAAATGACCGTGAATTTAACAGTAAAAGACTGTAAAAATGCTACAGTAAAAACCTGTTAAATGGTTAACGGTAAATTCCCCTACTATATATGGTGAAAAACTGTATTGGACATTAATTTTACGGTAGTATACCGTTTTTGGAAGTGAAAAAGACCGTATAATTTACAGTGAATAACCGTAAATTGACATTCCCAGAATTTCCTGCGTTACATTTCAAATTTGATGTTTTTTTGTTAAAATAACTATGTTTCTTCTTAGTTTTTTCTTATCGGTTTTGTATATTAGGGTTGAGTGTTGCACCTAATGTTGTTAAATGAATGTTTATTGCATTATTTCAGTTTCGTGTGTTACCATGATGGTGTTTGGTGTTGGTGTGAATGACAGTGCGCACCTTCTATACATGTTATTATTTAAAAGCTGCTTGTGATGGGCTTTGGTTCATCATGTGACTTTCTCATCACCACCTGCATTTGGTGGTTATCAGTGTATTACAAAGGTACAAAACAGATTTCAGTACTTCAATAAGGTTGGTATATTAACATTATATCAGTTAATGAAATTACGGTATTTAACGGTAAATTTAAGTTAAAACTGTAAAACCTAAAATGTTGCTAACCATATTTTTTACGGTAAAATTCCGGCAACAACAGCTGCCATTTTTTTACCGGAATTTTTACGGATTTGGTATATTAACATTATATCAGTTAATGAAATTACGGTATTTAACGGTAAATTTAAGTTAAAACTGTAAAACCTAAAACGTTGCTAACCATATTTTTTACGGTAAAATTCCGGCAACAACAGCTGCCATTTTTTTACCGGAATTTTTACGGATTTTTTTTTTACAGTGTAGTTTACTAAAATAAAACTGAACAGCATCTGGTCTCAAAGCCTGACGAGTTGAAAAGTGCTCAAATCCATTCTAAAACCATCAAATGTCTTCTAAAACACACACACACCTGTTAGAGTGATTCAACTTAATAGCAAAGGATTACATTTCAGTTGTGTTTTGTGGACAAACATCATAAAAACAGCCAATTCCCATACTCTTAATCACAAGCATCATGAAAGCATCTCCTGAATGTCGCTTTAACATCCGCCTAGAAACATCTCAGTGCCGTACTGCCAAATGAAAACCAGCACATGAGATCTCCTTGACGTGCATGTGCCAAGAGAACAGATCTGTCACACAGCAGGACTGCAGCAGCATTAAAGATTAAGGATGAAAATATCATGCATGGATAAATAAAAATGCACTGGTTGGCTAAATGATCAGGCCTATATCACAACAACATTGCTATCAATTAGAAATTACGAGATGAGAAGCGCTTGTAAACAAACTCCGGATGGACATTTAAAATGCACATTTCTCTGTGACTAAGCCTGAAACAAATAAACGCTGCCTCATCGACAAATTGTCACATTTAACAGAAAGGAAGGTGGTCAAATCCTTTTAACAGGTCCTTTAACTTAAAACTTATATTCAGTTGCTGCCTTAAATTCTTAAGTATAATCAAATTGCCTTCATTAGTCATTTCAACATAAATAACTGACTTTAAAAACATTGAAACTGGTTTTAAAATATTTTGATGATTTAAAGTAAATGGATCAATAAGTCAAGGTTACGTACGTTTTTTACAGTTTTATTAAAATGATTTTAATAAATAGTGAAAAATATAAATTATTTAATGTATGAAAATAAATAAAAATTAAAAATCCCCAAATATAAAGCTTTAAAAGCTTCATTTAAAATAAAATTTAATATTTTAGATTTATATGTTGCTTAGGAAAAAAATAAATGAAAACGTATTATTTTTTTTCTATTCAATGTTTTTGTTTTGCAGTAAAAATATTTAAGTGACCTTAATAAAAGATGTTTTTTATTTTAAAAAGCAAAATTGCCTAAGATATTAAGGCTTGTTTTAAAGGTTAAAATTAAGGTTCTATTTTAGATTTATATTTTGCTTGCAAAAAAAATACTTTTGAATAAGCATCAACAAATTTTCTGTATTCAGTGTTCTTGTTTTGCAGTAAAACACATTGAAATGTCCTTAAAATGAACTGCTTTTACTTTAAAAAAGCTAAATTGCATAAGATATTAAGGCTTGTAGTTACGCCATCTACCAGCAGGAGTTAACTGGACTGTGCTAACCAGTCAAACCCTGACCATTTGGTTCAACGACGTCTTGTTTACGCATCCTTAATGCTTTGATTGGTGGGATTAGATGAACATACTCTTCCCAAATGCTTCATTTGGCAGGTTCTAAAGTGCGCTGGTTCCGCCCACTGGGCCGATAACGACCTGCGTCCAGCAGCTGAGCCCAGCTGGCTAATTGCTGGGAATCTCATTTAAAAATGACCATAATCAACTCTAAACTATCAACTCCAGATCCCATTCATACGAGAACCCTAGAGTGAAAATCCACTGTTTTGGCCGAGTCTACAAGCGTGGATGCGATGAAACACAGTGAAAGAGAGAGAAAGAGATAATTGGGGTGGAAGCTTTGAGGAGGATAAGGAAGGTTAAGTGTCTGGTTGGAAGCCAAAAGTGCATCTGGAGCGCTGATGTGATGTGATCTCCGAGAGAAAGCAACTTCACAGCGAGATGCGAATGAATGCGGAGTGGGACTGACACAGCGGACAGAAGGTGAATGAGTGACACAAACAGTGTCTGACAGTACATGCATTAAACCGGCTTCATGGTTAATGGAGAACCTAGTTTGTGAATCTGTGCTGTTTACAGATTCTCCGCAGCAGGTTTTTGGAAGCACAACATGAAGATTAAATATCTACATGCACGGGCCAAAATCATAGTCAGCATGAAATCAGCATTAACCCCATTTACTTTCTTGATGCCTTAAACCTTCCAGGTCCTGTTGTGCACGATTCATGTTGTGCATGTTATTACGAATAAATTCATGTTTGTCTTCATGTTGTCCTTTCTGAATTGACGTTCCTTTTCGGATGACATCATAAATATTCGAGCCTTGCCCTCCAATCAGCTTACTCTATTTGGTTATGCCACGCCCACTTTCCATTCAATTCCAAATGGATAAAATCAAGTCCGCAATATTAAAATGATACTTTGAACTTTGCTTTTTTTTTTTTTTTTTAATCTATGAATCGCAACATAACAATGACAGACTGACACATTTGATGTGAGTGATTTAAATAGATACAAACACTAAGCATAATGCATGATTCAAATTGCAAAAGGCAACTTATCTAACCCTCATTTTTATATTTTCCTATTCTGACAGAAGCGAGACTCTTATCGGTTTCACCAAGAGACTCGATAATGAATGATACTGAGAGTGACACAGTGACTTGCGTGGGGGGGAAAAAATTGTTAATGTTTCTTAAAGTCTCTTTTGCTCACAAAGGCTGCATTTATTTAATCAAAAATACAGTAATAACAGAAATATTATAAAATAGTATTACCATTTAAAATAACTTTTCTATTTGAACATATTGTAAAATGACATTTATACCTGTGAAGCAAAGCTGAATTTTCTGCATCATTACTCCAGTCTTCAGTGTCACATGATCCTTCAGAAATCATTCTAATATGCTGATTTGCTGCTCAAGAAACATTTCTGGTTATTATCCATGTTGAAAACAGCTGTGCTGCTTCATATTTTTGGGGAAACCCTAATTCAGGATCCTTTGATGAATAGAAGGTTTAAAAGAACAGCATTTATTTGAAATAGAACCTTTTTGTAACAATTAAAGTCTTTACTGTCACTTTTGATCCATTTAATGCGTCCTTGATAAATAAAAGTGTTCATTTATTTAAAAAAATAATAAAAATCTTACTGACCCCAAACTTTTGAAAGGTACCGTTTCAAGGCCAGTAAACAATATTATGGCCAGGTAATTGCCTCAATTTGCCTGCCACTGACTTAAAGAAGACCACTTTGCACATCTGACAGATCTGGTGTTAAGACTTTTCACATTAAAGTCAACACATATGTTTACCAAAACCAACTAATCGACCAGCTCCCCACAACACAAGGCTGTGAATCTGCAATGACCTCTAGTTCTCAGCGTTGCACATTCATTCTGTTATATTCACGACACACACACACTGACTCACAATGTCCTTTGAATTCAGTGTGAAGTGCTTTTGTACCTGGCGAATTTAGTACAACTGAACATCAGTTTTTCTCAAAGCAACCCGACTTTCATGTCGTTTCTCGTCTGACCCGACAAAACGATATCAAAAACTGTGTGCTTTCACAGATTTTGTCAGCATGAATGCAATGAAGCACTGATATGTTTGACTTAGTGTGTGTGTGTGTGTGTGTGTGTGTGTGTGTGTGTGTGTGTGTGTGTGTGTGTGTGGGGAGGCTGAAGGAGTGACTGGGCTGTTTTGTCTTCTGATGTGATGTGATCTCCGAGAGAAAGCAACTTCACAGCGAGATGCGAATGAATGCGGAGTAGGACTGACACAGCGGACAGAAGGTGAATGAGTGACACAAACAGTGTCTGACAGTACATGCATTAAACCGGCTTCATGGTTAATGGAGAACCTAGTTTGTGAATCTGTGCTGTTTACAGATTCTCCGCAGCAGGTTTTTGGAAGCACAACATGAAGATTAAATATCTACATGCACGGGCCAAAATCATAGTCAGCATGAAATCAGCATTAACCCCATTTACTTTCTTGATGCCTTAAACCTTCCAGGTCCTGTTGTGCACGATTCATGTTGTGCATGTTATTACGAATAAATTCATGTTTGTCTTCATGTTGTCCTTTCTGAATTGACGTTCCTTTTCGGATGACATCATAAATATTCGAGCCTTGCCCTCCAATCAGCTTACTCTATTTGGTTATGCCACGCCCACTTTCCATTCAATTCCAAATGGATAAAATCAAGTCCGCAATATTAAAATGATACTTTGAACTTTTCTTTTTTTTTTTTTTTTTAATCTATGAATCGCAACATAACAATGACAGACTGACACATTTGATGTGAGTGATTTAAATAGATACAAACACTAAGCATAATGCATGATTCAAATTGCAAAAGGCAACTTATCTAACCCTCATTTTTATATTTTCCTATTCTGACAGAAGCGAGACTCTTATCGGTTTCACCAAGAGACTCGATAATGAATGATACTGAGAGTGACACAGTGACTTGCGTGGGGGGGGAAAAATTGTTAATGTTTCTTAAAGTCTCTTTTGCTCACAAAGGCTGCATTTATTTAATCAAAAATACAGTAATAACAGAAATATTATAAAATAGTATTACCATTTAAAATAACTTTTCTATTTGAACATATTGTAAAATGACATTTATACCTGTGAAGCAAAGCTGAATTTTCTGCATCATTACTCCAGTCTTCAGTGTCACATGATCCTTCAGAAATCATTCTAATATGCTGATTTGCTGCTCAAGAAACATTTCTGGTTATTATCCATGTTGAAAACAGCTGTGCTGCTTCGGGGAAACCGGGAAACCCTAATTCAGGATCCTTTGATGAATAGAAGGTTTAAAAGAACAGCATTTATTTGAAATAGAACAACAATTAAATAAACAATATTTATGGACAGGTAATTGCCTCAATTTGCCTGCCACTGTCTTAAAGAAAAGTGGTCACTTTGCACATCTGGCAGGTCTGGTGTTAGACTTTTACATCTGTGTACCCAAACCAACTTCCACAATCGACCAGCTCCCCACAACACAAGGTTGTGATTCTGCAATGACCTCTGCGGTTCTCAGTGTTGCACTTTCATTCTGTTATTCACAAAACACACACACACACACTCTGACTCACGCTGTCCTTCAAATTCAGGGTGAAGTGCTTTGTACCTGGTGAATTTAGTTCAACTAAACACCAGTTTATCTCAAAGCAGCCCGACTTTCATGTCGTTTCTCGTCTGAGTCAACAGAACGATCTGAAAAACTGCATGTGCTCTGTGTGCTTTCACAGATTTTGTCAGCATGAATGCAATGAAGCACTGATATGTTTGACTTAGTGTGTGTGTGTGTGTGTGTGTGTGTGTGTGTGTGTGTGTGTGTGTGTGTGTGTGTGTGTGTGGAGGCTGAAGAACTGACTGGGCTGTTTTGTCTTCCCATCCGTGCGATCTCATCATTTTGGTAGAGCACAGCTGCTCAGATCCAGCCGGATCATCTCTTAACGCTTGCGCTTGGACTTTTGCACATGTGGACAATCAAAACATAAACCACAGCACATTTCCTTTGGAAACTATAAGACCTGACCAGTCCGTGCAAAGAAATTGTCCTTTATACAACAAGCAAAAGTTACTCACCAGAAACTTCCCGTTGGATCCGAGCACGACTGCATGAGACGTTCAAAACTGTCCTTTTCAGACGCGCTGGAGACTAGAAAGAGATCTTGCTGTCGTCTTCAGGAAGCTTCGGAGATGCTCAGGTTTCTCAATCCCATCCTGCTCATTCTGTAACATCTTCTTTCCTCCGTCTCGCTGTCCTCTTTTCGATGCGAGAGTCTCTTCTCGATGTCTCGGTCGTGATCAGTGCTGCACAGAGCATCGTGTGCCTCTTTCCGGTGTGTGTGTGGATCCCATCTGTCCCTCTCTCGACCTCCGCTCGAGAACGTCAACTCTGGTGTCTGAGCTCAGAGCCAGTGCATGTGTGTGTGTCTGTGTCTGTGTGTGGGAGAGGGAAGCAGCCAATGGGAAAGGGTGGGAGTGATGGGAGTAAAGCACACGCGCAGACCTAACGACAGTGAATAAACAGAAGGGTTAGACTCCTCTGTATTCATCCCTCTCTCTCCTCCTCTCCATCCATCGTTTCGGCTTAAAGGAATAGCTCAATATTTACCCACCCTCATGTTGTTCCAAACCTGAATGCTGTTTTTTCTTTCTGTGGAACACAGAAGAATAAATGTAATATATATATATATATATATATATATATATATATATATATATGTACACCACTCTTTTTCATGCAACAACAGATCAACTGTAAAACTCCAAAAGAGACAAAAAGCACTAAAGAAGTGATTGTACGCTATTTCTAGGTCTTCTGGAGCTGTACACAGTGTTGTTTTAGTATTATTTATATACTAATAGTGATTAATATTTTGAATTAACTTTTATTTTCAGTTTTAGCAATTTTGTTGTCGTTGTTAGGCTTTTGTCGTTTGTAATAATTTTATTATTTTTATTTAGCTTTCTTTTATTTTTATTTCAGTTTTAGTTGTAGTAATTTCAGTACTTCACCTACGACTTTGTTTAAATATTTAGTTGTACATATTATTTCAGTTAGTTGCAAAGGCAAGGCAATTTTCATTTAAGTTTTTGTATTTCATTTCATATTTATGATTTGTTTTTGCTTTTTCAATGAACGAAACATTTTTTTATAGTTTTAGTTTAATTAAAAACAACAACACCGAAGGAATAAAATTCATTAATGTGGATTTTGAATACATTTATTTTAAATGTATTTAGTATCTTTTAAATATTTATATTTAACTTCAGTACTGTATATACTGTATGTATTAATATTTTGAATTATCTTTTATTTTCAGCTATCATTTTAGTTACAGTTTAAGTTCTAGTAATTTTGTAATATGCTTTTTTTCATTTTTATTAGTTTGTTTTTTTTAATACTTCTATTTATTGTCTTTATTTTATTTCAGTTTTAAATTTAGTAATTTTAGTATGTCACCTTGAAATAAACCTTCATTTACATTTTTTATTTTAGTTACCAAGGCAAAATTTAAAATTGTCATTTTTTTAACTTTTTCATCTTTTATATTTTATGTTAGCTTTATTTCAATTAACGAAAACTTATTTTTAATAGTTTTAGTTTATTTAACAACAGCACTGGAGAAACAGAACAAAATTTAAGCCACTATTGACTAAAAATATTCCCCTTCGCAGCAGCACTCCAATCAAGCATTGTGCCTTTGCATCATGTTTAATGTCAATTACTTTTTAGGTCACAAGGCACAGGAGAACCAATTATGTTTTATATAATTGATGGCCATCCAGTGCCATATTTGATTTGTAAGCTATGGCAGACTATTTACAACTTCAATTTCAGTTGGTGAACTACACCTTTAAGACTAGGTATCATCATCATCAGTGCTTGTGCTTGTGCAGTGTGTGTGTGTGTGTGTGAGTGTGTGGCTGGCCATTTAATTAAACCAGAGGATGCCAGAGCTGCACAGGAGGGACACGGAGAGACATGGTAGATGACTGATGATGAGGAGGAGGAGGAGGAGGAGGAGCAGAGAGGAGGGGGGAGGTGCAGCATGGTCAGATAGGTGGATATAAGGGGTCATCAGACAGGAGCAAGTGGTCTTGCTGGGAAACACTTGGAGAAAAAAACCCACCAGGAATGAGTACAGCAGGTGATATAGATGAAGGGTAAATGAAGGACTGTGTGAAGGTATGAAGAACATGGTGAAATTCCAGTCTTGGCCAGATGAGGGCAGATTACACACAATTTATGAGATTAAAGGGATGGTTCATCCAAAAATTACAATTCTGACATCATTAACTCACCCACTTGTCCTTCCGAATTTGTATGAGGCGGAACGTTTACACTGCTCTTTTTCATACAGTGGAAGTGAATGAGGATAGATGCTGTTGAGCTCTAAAAAGGCCACAAAAGTATGCATTAGGATGCAGTATATTCCAAGTCTTTTAAATTGTGATTCACTGAAATCATTCCCAATATCTGAAAATCTTCCCATCCAACCACATCACAATTTCAAACTTGCAAGATTTGAAACCTAGTGCGACGTGTTTTCATATTACATCTGAAAACACTGAGATTTGAAAACTATACTGTGGAGGGAAATAACAAATTGAATTTCAATCTGTTTCTCACAAAAAGCTATTGTATGATTTTAAAAGACAGACTACTTTTATGGTGATGTATCATTTTTGCATGAAAAAAAAAATTCTAATATGCTGATTTGCTGCTCAAGAAACATTTATTATTATCAATGCTGAAAATAGTTGTGCAGCTTCTTCATATTTTTGCTGCAACCGTGCAACATTTGTTTTCCCAGGAAATGATGAATATAAATTTCAAAAGAACAGCACTGATTTGAAATCTTTTGTAACATTATACATTTCTTAACTGTTTACTTTTGACCAATTTAATGCATCCTTGCTGAATAAAAAAGAAAAATAACTTTTTGAAAGGTAGTGAATATTTCATCCAAAAAATGACACTGAATCACATTTCCCCTATTAAAGCCCATTTGTCTCGACTAAAGTTTATTTATTATTACTACAGAATTTAAGAGACTGTCTGCGTATATCTGTTGACTTTGTCTCTGTCAGCCCATCCTATAGTGATCATAAAGCACGATGCCTTTATTCTGTCCCGACTCTCGTTCTTCCGCATCGTTTCTCCTGATGAAAGTATTACCTCTATCGCTCTCTTATCTGATGTAACTCAGACAACCTCATTTCTGTGTAAAGAACTCTCACCTGCTGCATTGAGCTGATATACACGAGCCTCGGGCAAGTAGACTTGATTTACGTCACATGCAATTACGGCTCTTCAGAGGTCTGAGGAACAGAACAGTGATTTTAAGAGACTTTTTTTTTTGGTACATCACTCCTGAGAGGACATGCAAAAGTTCAAAACCTTCAATATGATCGCAATAGCTTCGTCAGCTGAAATAACACACATCTATTAAGTCATTCATGAGAGTTTTGCAGAGAAACCCACCCTGAAAAAAGAACTTAAGGGTCAACATTAAGTTTTCATATAATTTTGATATTTTTAACCATCTGTCAAAATGTTGCTATCATACTAATTTGTGGAATTTTATCAAACAGGAAGGAATGTTGGTGACTTGCTGATATTTTTACGGTTGGTTTACCCTCCAAAAGGATGTCACTTCCTGGAAGATGATGTTATTAAAGCGATAGTTATGACAAATATGAAAATTCTAATCACTTACTCTTTTATGTCATTACAAACCTGTATGCATTTCTTTCTTCAGCGTAGCACAAAAGATGTTGAACTGGCTTCCATTGCATAAAAAACAACAACACCATATTAAATTTTTGTGTGTGTGTTTTGCCAAAGAAAGTCAGTTATGCAGTAAGTCAATGACACATGCGTGAGCAAATGACAATTTTATTTACCGGTATTTATTTATTTTTTAAACTATCCCTTTAAGGACATGGCCTTATACTATACTATACAGCAAATCTTGGGTGTGTGATTCAAAAATAAACAGCTTGTCAAAAAAAAATATCACACAGCTCTCTCTCTCTCTAATATATATATATATATATATATATATATATATATATATATATATATATATACAATATATA